ACCAGGTACAGTTCTTCAGCTTTCTTCATGTGCACCTGACCTGTTTTTTGGTATTAAACAAATATCATCCCCTCCCTGAAATGAAGATGCCCAGCATAGTATTAACGGTTTAAAAGGAAAGGGAAATTAGATCACAACTTCATTGATGGGGATGTGAGGGAAAGAGGGTAAATTAGGGGCCCAGTTCTTCATACAATGTAAGAGTGGTGTCCCGCCAAAAAGACCACCTGAAATTGCCAAAGGGGAGGGAGATTCGTAACACGATAGGAAAACACATTGGCTTAATTCAGAAAACAGCTGTTGGCTGCCCAGCCTTGGTGAGTTTAATGAAGACTGAAATGAGTTAAAGTTAACCTAGATAATGTTAGTGTTCAGATGTTTTAGGAACACCTAAAGCAGATATGAATGGCTGCATAGAATGGTTGAAAAACAATCTTGTGCAACAGCCAGCTACAGGAAGAAAAAAAATCTTTAGTTGGCAGTTCTATTCAGTTGGGGAATAGTAATGGAAGGGAGAGAGAGGAGGTTGGGTGGTATTTGGAAGGAAGCGGGTCCCCTTAAGGGAGGCAACTTCATGTATTTAGGTGCCTGAAGAGCTCCTGGCTCAGTCTTGAACTTGAACCAGTCTTTAGCTTCCTCCTCCATCTGACCTATTCTTAGAATTAAAAAGTTTTTTGAAAAAAGAAAACAAAGAAAGGCAATCACAACCTAGGACAAAAGAGGAAGAGTGTTATAAAACATATGTGGTGCTGTGGTCCTGGAACTCTCTGGCTGTCCAGCAATGATGAAATATCTATGGGCTACTCACACCACCATGTGACCTTTTGACTCCAGCCCTGTTCAGGCTCTGGATACACAACAGCTCCAAACTGGGTAAAAGATGCATCTATGCAAGTTAACTTCATCCTTGCTCTTCCTGACTACCTTGCTTTAAGCAAAGAGGCCTGAAGAGGAAGAGCATTTGCATTTCTCTGGATGCACATACAGTTTTGTAGGTGCTCCAGGAGATTCCAAGATCACATGGAGAGCTATTCAGACAAACATGAATACAGTTCCCATTCAGCCCTCCCACTGAATATGTGGAGGCTGGAGTGAGTAGAAGACAAAGTTGACAAAACAGGGCAAGATGCACACCATTACTCTCTACCTGGTTTCATACCCTTATAGGTTCAGAATGGAAACACATTGTCAATACAGCAACACCATATGTCACTCAAAACTCAGATGGCTCAAGAAAAAGAGGGCTAAGGGAAAAAACTTCTGGATTGAGAAATACAGTTGCCAACATCCTTTTTACAAAGGAAAATTAGGCTAATCAGGGTTGAAGAAGTGCATCACAATTTGAAGAGGGTGGGTGCTTCATTAGAATGCAAGTGCAGAGCTGCAGAATTGAAACACCTGCCGTTTGTCAAGGGAAACCTAAGGAAGATTGACGCTGCAGAATAACAATAATTCAGAGATGTCACTCTAAGTACAATAACATTTTTTCCCCCTTCCTGAAATGTATTTTGGCATGCTTACTTCTCAGCATGAAAAACTGCTGGGTAGCTTCAGATTTTTGAACCATTGCAGTTTTGTATTGTTTTCAAAACCTTTAAGAGAAAAGGCAGGCAGGCAGGCAGGCAGGCAGGCTGGTTGGTGAAGCTGGCACGGAGTTTATAATTTTAAAGTGCTTAATCTCTAAAGGAAGTGAGACAAAGCCTCAAATCTATTCAATAATAATACTTTTTCATCTGGAAGCCTTTCTCTCTCTTTCTGATGTCTGGATATGCTGTGTAATAACCCAGCGGAAAGAGAAATTCAGTTTGTTACAGCTAAGAACCATTTCATTTGTTTGTACTTAAGGGCAGGATTTAGTCCCGCTATAAATTAAAGTCTGAATTTATGACTGTGAACAATAAATATAATAAAAAAACCTTAAGTAAGCCACAAGTGTTTTAAAACTTTACATCTTTCACTTCATTGTATTTTAAACAATCAGATGAGAGTCCCAAATAATGATGAAACCAATAAGGAAAATTATTTGACGTGATTTGAAATTAGAGTCTCTCTCTCTCTCTCTCTCTCTCTCTCTCTAGGCTGGCCTTCTCCAATTTTTGGTACTTTCCAGAAGTGTTGGTCTATTGCATGGATACATCACTTCTATCGGGTCGACGGTCACATTCCAAAAATGGGCTGAGCTCATAATTTTTCATCCACAAATACATGATATATGGGATGTTGAGCATCGTAGTTCAGCCCATTTGGAGAACCTGTATTGTGGAAGTCTGTCCCACGTTGAGATTTTTTTCAGCTCTGCTATATAGTTTTTTATACATTTTACAAGTACACTGAACAACTGCAATGCAAAATCTGTCCTTCCAGTTGATTAAATCTACCTGCAGCAGTGACCTTTCTATAATACAGACAAATCTTCTCTATAGGAATGGCTAATACAGGACAATGTGCCACATGGAATTACTCATGCAGCACATGATAAATTCCCTAACCATTTTCTTGGAATATTTCTCCCTCTTTAATATTTTTCCTCAAACTATTTGTACTCTTTCATGGTGATTGTAGAATCTGTTTTGGAAGTTTTTTCCATAACTTCTCTTTATGCAGGTAGAGCAAAAATAATGAGCAAACAAAAAATGCATGGATTTTCTCTAAGGCAAGACTATGGCCCTATGAATATACAATTGTGTATATTTGACTAACAACACCCCCTTCCTTCCTTCCTTCCTTCCTTCCTTCCTTCCTTCCTTCCTTCCTTCCTTCCTTCCTTCCTTCCTGTCCAAAGTCCCCTACTTAGCAAGCGAGAAGAGATTCCTCAACCCCATATTCCTAGCAGTTCAATTCCCCACACCCTGAAAAGCTGATAGCAGCATATGGGAGTCTGTTCTTTTTCATGAGTTTATTCAACAGTTGTTCACGACTTGACCGGGGAGGGGGGGATGCCTCCCCACTACTTAATCCAAACGATCTTCTGCCAATATAGGCACATGCACAGCATTTCCTATTGATTTTTAAACAGTGAAATTTTCAGTGTAGGAACCTAACATTTGCTGATGTTTCCCAGGAGAGTATTACAGCCACTGATGGTGCTGGATAAATAAATAATGTTCTTAAACATGGACAGCTGTTGGTTTATTACTTTCTAAGAAGTAAACACTGTTAAACATAGTGGGAATTGGTTGACGTTTGTGCCATTCATATTGTAATTGGATCCATTTTGCATAGATTCAATTTATCCAATTCTTTTACCAAAAAAAAAAAGAAAAGCTTAAGAATGAGGTATCCTTGCCACAAGAGGTCAGTGTAGGCTTATTTGTTTGTGAAAATTCACATTGCTACAGATGATGACACTGTAATGTAGGTAAAAGAGATCACAAATTTCATATTTTTAGCATTTCATGCCTTTAACAGAACTGTACTGGAGGTCTTTGTTGTGGATCATTGCTTAAAGGTGTATATAATGCTGCTTTGTAAAGTGGACAAGTTAATCAAATACTATTTAGCAATGGGGATCAGTTCAGCTGCTAACTCATGCACACCTAGGAAGTATGCTATTTCAGGCCGAAACACAGATCAGGCAACACAAAATCTTCCAAAGCAATATTTTTCTGTTATTATGTATATATGTAAGAAAAGGAAATATATGTCGCACAGGTAGAGATTTTTTCAGGTGCTTCTAGCTGCAGAGAATGGGGACACTGATCTTTTTTGTTTAATACTCCATACTTATGTCAGGCATATAATTGCCTTGGCCTATGCTTTCCAAACTCACTCTGTCCTTTGTAGTTTCTTCTCGCCCAAAGTTAGTTGTTTTGATTAGATCTCTTCCCCTCCTCTTCCTTCCCACTTCTTTCCATTGCTTCGAGATATAGTAATCCTTCTGCCTGGATTCTTCCTTGGATGAAGGGGATAGGACAATGAGGACCTGCGGCTTATATTAGAGAGTGGAGGCAGAAGCAGGACTACTCCCTGTGACTTCTCTGCAGCTCTGGTTTCTGATCTACAGCTTCTGAGTCCTAAATGGATGACCGCTGCCAAGTAATGAAATGGAGGACTGAATGAGAGAGGAGCATGAGATTAAGGACTGGGTACTCTGGGTGAATGAGCTCACTTGGGAATCAGAACCACAAATATGAGCTGAATCTGGGAGAAGAGGGCTGCTAGGAACTTTGTAAGACAGGATTACCTGGTTGTACAAGCAGCATTACTTTCAGCTTCCCTTACAACCTCATGTTAAAAGTGGGTGATGATGTATTTATCCAATGGGGTAATTATAGGAGAGACTTATTAGTCTATGGTCACCAAAAATCAGGAGGAGTCTGGTAGCACCTTTTTCAGTTAACAGATTTGATGAAGTGAGCTGTACCATTGCAGTGGTGTAAGGAGCTGGAGCTCACAAAATATTATGTCTTTTAATAAAACGTATTAGAAAAGGTGCTACCAGACTCCTCGTGACAAATGGGGTAACTATCTTTTTAGATATCCATGCCTGAAATGGGCCTTCTCTAGCAATCCATCTCTATAGCCATTTCTCTTTTTTACTTTCCTGACTATGTGGGTTGGAGAAAAAGGGAAAGAAGTCAGTATCAGTGTCAGTCAGTGTCAGTCAGAGTCTTCAATTTTCCCATTACAAAGTTCAATTTTTTTTTCACTTAAAACAAAAGAAAAACCAAGACAAAACTTCCCAGAATTTACATTCATACATGCATACAAACTTTGGTCAATTAGCAAGGGATCATTGAGTCAGAAAAGTTGTGCAAAGTGTGGCTTACAGGTATAACGTATAATATTAAGCGTATGGCTTACCAGTCTATGTAAAAGAAATATAATGTATAAAATGGAAGCTCCAATGATTCCTATAAACATTAGTTTTGAATATGTACTGTACCTATCATGCATTTTTATTACTTTAACTGAACATACCAATGGAGTATTATTAAAATAATACTTTGGATCCCAAGAAACCTTGGAATGATCAAACCAGCAGTTGTACTGATACTTTTATGGAATATGGACGTAGGTCATTTTTTCTATTAAAAATAAAAAACACATTGAATTAGCCCAGAAGGGATGAAAATGGAAGTGTTTAATTTTGTCTGCATCCTTTTTTAGGACAGAGCACACGATTCATCTGGTACCTGGACCACAAAGATGATGGTGCAATCGCCAGAAAAATAGATATGGCATTGTCCCAAGCCCTGGACTCCCAACACATGGATGTGCTCGGAGATGGAGAAGCAGAGCCAATTTCTTGCAATGTCAGCAAACTGAAGCTCTTGAAGGAGATGGTAATTGGTCAGGGAAAGTCATGTCAGCCCTATTCAAGCGTTGCGCAAGAGCCAGGCCAATGTATTACCTTGGGGAAAAATTTCAGCCCTCTTACTATGCAACAGAGGTAAGAAACCCAAGAGGAAACTAAATATATTCTTTTCCTTCTGATACATTTGTTCTTTGACTCAGCAATCCACATATGTTTTATTTAATATCTTCCTACAATTATAGCGACTGGGAAAAAAGCTTAGTTGGGAAACTGCAACAGACAATTGCTGCAAAGGGATGGTCTCTCAGCAGGTTTCAGAACTAATACATGTTTTTATAGCAGCTCTGTGAGCAAACTCTTTTTGTGCTTCTATTTTCAAACACCTTCTTCTCTTTCTTGGCTTTTTATTTAAACAAAACATTCATAGGACACCAAAAAAAACCCTTTATACAGATAAAATTATACCAAAATTATTAATAATTGTTAAATCGAAGGTTTATACAGGGCCCAGTTCTGTAATTACGGGTGATTGTTCAGGTGATAAAATAGGCATGAAGCTGCAGTTATGATATTAATAACAGTGTTTGTTTATTATTTATTTCATTAGTTGGAGTGATGAGTGCATAAAAAATAATTTGATGCCATCAAGCGAGAAACACACATAAACAAGAATATCCCAAACCACTTTGCTTCTGCCTCTTTTAGCTTTAGCAGGCTTTGGTTGTAGGATACTGGATTGTTTTTATTGTGATCTTGTACTGTTGCTTAATTGCATTGGTCTCAGGTGTATACGGCAACTTTTGAAGGATTTCCTGAGGCTTAGTTTTTCTGGAAGCTTCAGAAAGCAGCACCAGAAAAGACCACTCATGACTGTTGTGTCTTCATATTCAATAAGATGGAAAAGATATTGATTGATTGATTGATTGATTGATTGATTGAATGAATGAATGAATGAATGAATGAATAATGGCATTTATGTCTTGCTTTTTCTCCTGGCATTCAGTATGGCATCCATCAGGCATGGGAACTTGTGACCTTACAGGTTTTGCTAACAATGAATGATTCTGGAAGTTGGAGTTTAACAATATCAATATAAATTCATTTCTAGGGCATACATAATCCCTCTCTATTTTATCTTAACAAAAATGCTGTGAAATAGACTAGGCGAAGAGATAGCGACTACCCCAAGTCCCATGATGGGTAAAGATTTAAACCTGTATATTTTTAGTCATAAAATCTTTTGCCCACCATACCATACTGGCTCACATGTTGCATTACCCCAAAGCATGACATAGTGTGACATGTCTGTGATGACTTTAGTCCAGTCTTAACTTGTATGTTAAGATAACATGTGAAAACGTTTAGTTTTTACAATCGTTTTACTACTGTAGAGTTAATGCGATGCTTTTCTTTTTTATAGACCTGTTTCATTGGCTATTGTTTTTGTTATAGACCATTTTCACTCAATTTTTCTTCTGTTCTGTACTTAGTTGGGAAGAAGTGTAGTATAGAAATAAAAGGAAATTTGGTTTGGGTGCAGAAGAAAGACATGGGCCTTCTATAGTCAGACCTTGGTTTCTCATGGCACTAATGGTGCAGAGAGCCATCTCAGCTGGATTCTTAACACCATGCAATAGAAGGGATAAGCTACTCTGATGCAGGAGACGTAAGAGATATTGTACACCAAGGGGGGATCCTGATTTAGACAAGGCCACTGCAGGCGTAAACCAGCATGATGAATATATGGTTTCCAGGCAGATGGTCTCCATTCAGTTCTGACATCTTCACATGAGATGTCACATAATTGGTGATATAAAAGAACTTTCTCTGCCTTAGACCATGAGGCCAGTTTAAATAACCCCAAATAGTCTGACACGTGTACCTTTTATTCAATGCATGATATACTCATTGAATTTACTTATACAAGATTTGGCCTTTGCCACTAGCTTCCAAAGCTTGAAGGGAGTAGAATGATGTAATAAATTCATTTGTCAGGTAAGAGAGTTAAATCCAACAGTAAACAAAGTGTGTTCCTTCAGATGCTAGTTTTATCCCTTTGATTCAGTAACCAATAAACAATGTATTTAATATCTTTCTGTAACAAGAGAAATGGGAATGAAGCTTATGCTTAGGAAGCCACTATAGATAATAGCCTGTGGAGAGATACTCAACCTGCAACTTCCACAGTATCTACGTATATCTCTTGTTATAGTTGCTATGGGGACATGTTTGTTTTCTGCTGTATCTTCCATTTTCCTTATTGATTTTTTAATTTAAATATAGTACTCACGAAGTCCAGGAAAAATAGTCTTGTACTAATAAAGTCATACATAAATTGACGAAGTACAATTTCATAAATCTGAACTAAGAGAACAAACTGTAATTCCTGACCTGCTGATTGTGATAGTCATAACTGATGCAAGAACTATGTTTTTAACAGGGAGAAATGCTTTTACTCATTCAAGGTGACTATCACTGAGAATAGCTTTCCCCAACCTGTGTTGGCTACCTCTGGAATTCTAAAAAATATGGTCAGTGCTGGCTGAGAATTCTGGAAACTGTAGTCCATTCACATCTAGAAGAGAAGGCTGATTTAGAGAGATGAAAATACTGAGTGTCCCATGTACCAATAAATACTTTTGAAGTTGGATTGGGGCCATCTTATGTTCTCAGAATAGAGATACAAGACGCCACTAAAAGGGAGAATCTCAAATCCTTTATCGTGGTCCTTGCCCAAAATTTTATAAGTTGGAAGACATGAGACAGGAAAAAAAAAATTAATAAGCAAATTATACAGAAATTAACATAAAGTAAACCAGAAAACAAAATGAAAGCAATACCAAAATGTTAAAATACTGACATACTTGTCAGTGCTTGACAATGCTCAAATACAAGTAAAATTGCTAAATTAATAATATAGTAAAATTATAAAATGCTAAAATATCAGACTATAAAATACTAAAATTGTATACCACTAAAATACTAAGATATCGAAATCCTAAAATATTACTCTACCTATTCTTAGAACATTCTTTTTCTCTCCATCCTATCTTACCTTCTCTTGTGTCTAATATTGCCTTGTTGGGCAGAGCATCAGAAGCTAATATAGTTTCTACCCTTATGGACATCTCTGTAAAAAGAGAAGTATAAACAAATATGCAATACAGATTCCACCATTTCTATTCCACAGGGCAGAGTGTTTCACAGAGGGGAAGATTTGTTTAGGGAACAGTTAGGAACATGCAAGAGGAAACCCCTTTGGTGTTTAAAAAGACTAAGCTGCTATAAGTATCCTCTTATTTTATAAAGTTGCTCCTCAGATACTACATTTCTGGAAATTCTGCCACAATCTATTTGCCTGCCTTTATCAAGGGACTTCTGTTTTGGAGCATCCTTTGCTTTTTTTGTTCCCCATTACTAGTAGTCTGAATGAAAACGAGGAGCTGCTTTTGCCACACTAGGAATGAGGGTGCTAGAAAAATAGGTATGGGATCCATGGATGGAAAGCATCATCTCTCTGTGAATCCCTAGGAAAGAAAGAGATGGTTTCAGCCTCCCTGAGAGTAAGGATTTGGCTCAACCAACCAACCTGTACCCTGATGACAACTCTCACCTACCTCGGACTCCATACTTTTTTTTAGAGTTTTCACTCTCCAAAATGGGAGCAGCCATGGAAATGGGTTCTCCTGCATCTAAAGGCAGAAGTCAAATCACTTGTCCAATTACCTTTTCTACCTGTCTCATTTTTATCCAGTTTATTTCACCTTTCCCTTCCCTTCCCAGTTCAACTACTCATTTTCCACGCTCTGTAGTCAGGTGTAAACATTCATCCTCTTTGTTTTTTCTGCTGGAAAAAGGGAAGGGAGGAGTTCTGGAGGGATAATGGCAGACTGAAGATGGCTCTGCAAAAAGCGGAGCTGACAACTGCAGCAAAGAATGAAGAGCTGGTGAGCAGACCAGCTCTTCGAACCTCTCCGTACAAAGGAGGGCACCAGAGATCTCCCACAAGAGCTACAGACAGTTGCTTCTTGTGAGAAGACTGCAAGGCAGTGGCCTCTGGCTGGTTTTCAGCACTGGGAGATGAGAGAATAGCCATCTTGCTCAAACTATGGTTGGCGCTTTTGAAAGGACACTAAATTTGCATACTTCCTTTTCTAATCACATTTGGAAATTGCTTACTAACTACTTTTCAGCTATTAGAAACCTTTGAATTGACAAGTTTGAAAGCACCAGGTGAATTTGCCTTCAATCCTTATTGAAAGAAAGTTTTAAGTACAAGTTTAAGAACTTAAAAAAAAAAAATTTTTTTTTGGAAATAAATAGCAAAAGGTTGATTTTAGAAAGCTATAAATGGACTAATGGTCCAGATAAATTTGAAATAAGATTTTGGAATTAATTATAAAGAATCCTTCCTGTTGGAAAATGCTTTTGTTTGGAATTTTTTTTAAAAAGCATAATAAAATAACATTTAAAAAATTGGACACTAGACAGAACTAAAGATTTCAATTAAAGGAGAAGAATTTCAGGCAGTTCATTTTAATCAGTAGATTATATTACCTTAGTAATTATATTAATTTTGCTTTGGCCATCACTTCTGGCTAGCTTGCATTTACAAATATAACCATATGAACACATATATAAAAAAGGGTGCCGTATCTTCAAGTTTATCAGAATAAAACATTTCCAGACTTGGCTTCAGTGAGAACTGGCAACTCTAGGTTGACCAAGTAGGGAAGATAGATCTTGCACAGGGCTTTAATCCCACCACTCCAATCTATGATTTTAGTTTTGGAGGGTTTGTCTTAAATTTTAGGTCACCTTCCTTTTGAATAAATGAAATATTTCATTTGAAGCACTTGAATGGAATTCGACCCTAATCCCATGTGTCATTGCCCTGCATTATTGGCTTTTTAACTGGTTACATGCAAATACTCAACTCTCTTGAATAGCATTTGCTGAACGTTTTTCTGATTTGACCTCTTGCTCATGTTGTCTACTTTGCTTGTGTATTTGGATTTTGTCAGCATTCCATTTTAAGAGCTCCAAACATGCATCTGTAAAGAAAAGAACATAATAATCTCTAGGTAGTTTACAAAAACAAATTGCTTGCTTTTGGGGCATTGGAGAGGACTTTC